CGCAGCTCCAACACCACAAATCGCACGGCCAATGATCAGCGCAACTGAACTGGGTGCAGCACCTACATGGTAAGTATCTCAAAATCAGTATTTCCCGTTACTTGAAAGAGGGAGCGGCCGTGAAGGGAGGGATAAAAGCGTACCGCACACCACACTGCCCAGCTCGAAAAACCCAATTGAGATCAGGTACGTCCATTTTAGCGGGAAAAACGTGTAGAGTCGACCCCAGGATGCTTGCGTTGCAGCTGTTGTGACGAAGAAGGCAGAGCCGTACCATCCAATATCTTCTAGACTGTGGAATTCATCGGTGATTTTGGGGATGGCTGTTGAGATAATGGTCTGCGATTTGCGCCGTTTGGTTAGCATTGCTTTTTTTCTCTTGATACCGAGAAACAAAGGATTTCGTGGATTTACTTACGAAATCGAGAGAAGCCTGTCGCGGTGTTTGTTAGCATTTGTTCTTCTCTCCTTTTTTTGGTTGGGGTTGAATGGAAAGGGAAAGGGAAAGGAAGGATATACTTACCAAGAAAATCGCCAAAACAAGTCCAGTCAGCACGAGCAAAAACCGTCCTTTGGATAACTGGATATACGCGTCTTCTTGCAAATCGAGTGATTCGTTGCTAGACTGCGGATCCTTTTCTGAATCCGGTGTTGCGAGTGTCTTTTCCTTCATCTTTTCCTTTTTCCTTACTTCACGATATCGGCCGAGGGGAGGGGGGCGAAATCAAAGTAAAAATTTAAATGTGCAAAATAGGAAGAAACTGGAAACGACAATAATCTCTACTCAAGATGTGTTTTTTTTTCGCGGCGTAGAAATGCGTAGTCAGTTGGTAAATCCCCAAAATTCCACAAGTCTTCCTACTACTACTATGTACTACTACGCTTTACTAACAACAAAGCATTCAAATAATATTAACAGCCCAGCCCCCATCGGCTCTCCACTAGCCACACCCTCCCTTTCTGACTAATTCGCTCGCACGCAAGTTCCGAGCGCGAGGTCGGACAAGCAAAATGCGCGAGATTGATGGGGTGCGAGGGGTCGTGCGCATTGAGAAGGGAGAGGTTGCGATGTACGGAGGTCCGGTGCCAAGGCGGAGGTCCGTCGGCGTGTGATTTGTTGATTTGGACAACGAATATGGAATTGAGTGTTTCGGTGGTAATGAACGGAATGTAGAAGAAGGGGGAATGATGCGTGATATCGGACGTAACGTGTTGTGTTGATTGTTTCGCGGATGTCCTGTGAGTGCGTGGTCTGCTGGTCCGTTTGGGAGTCCGGTGTAATGTGTGTTGTGAATGCTGGGGGTCGTTCATGTCTTTGTTTCATATGTGCCTGTAATTCATCTCGTCTCTTGTGCGGATGCAAAATAGAGTGTGCAGAGATATCGTGCTTTTCTCTAGGGTGTGGTGCCTGGATGGCGGAGGTGAAGGTGGATAACAACTTGATGGACATGGAAAATGAGGCCATTTGGATGTCAAAATGTTGTGTCCCTTCATTTTTCTATATTCTTGATTCATCAAGTTTTCGTTTCGATGTGAAATGTGAAAAAAGGGGACCAATTATGATCCCGTGAGTTGAAGTCGCAAACCTGAAGAGGATATGCAATGGCAGTCGATGATGTAGATAATGTATTTAGCTATGAATACAAGTTTTAGTGATGAAGAGACATCGTGCGGGAATAAATGAGGTAGCCTTGACTTCCTCCTTCTGTAACATGCTCATAACAAATGAGGTCGCGTGGACAATTCTTCGGCTGAGCAACAACCGAGTCACAGTTATTCACCCAGCAATATCGTTCACAAATTTTGTTTTTGGAAGTGTTAAATAGTGGCCAAAACATGAATTGTAAACATAAAGGAGCGGTAAAAATCTAAGAGAGCTACAAAAAGGAAGACCAAAGCTAGCCAACAACAATTAAGCTGATGCAAGATTCACCAATAAAGACGCCAATTTCAAAGACCATCTCAGATAGCAACATCAGCAGACTCCATCACAGCCTCCTCAAACATGGTGTCAACCAACTTCGCCTTGTGCTCGTCCCTAGGTTTGATGTCAAACACGAAGGGCCTCGGTCGTGTAATGAGCAGGTCCGTCCAGTCAGTAACGTGTACTGGGATATCTGTCAATGCGTCAGTAAGCTATTTATTGGATGCGAATATTAGTTTTGATACGTACCCACTCCGATCTTGTTCTTCTTCTTAGAGACGTTGAATGCCCAAGCCAAAGATCCCATAATGGTGACTAATTGGTAGTCAACAATTTCCATACCCATGCAGTTGCGACGTCCATAGCCGAAGACATGGTGGTTGATAACATTGGGGTACTTGGTGAGAGGCTCTTTGTACGTTGGATATTTGGGGTTCAAATAGCGATCCGGGTTGAACTCTTCAGGGTTTGGATAGAGAGCCTCATCACTGCGTCGTGCCCATTCTGTAGGGTGGACGAGTGTACCCTTCTCAATTAAATATCCATCGTAAACATCATCCCTCTCGGCTTCGTGAGGTACACCGGTAGGTACAGGTGGCCTCCAGCGGATCAACTCCTTTCCGACAGCCCTAAGAATAGGAAGCTTGGGCGCATCAGCCCATGTGGGAAGACGGTTGGGACCGCAGACTTCGTCAATCTCCTCCTGGAGTTTCTTTTGCCACTGAGGGTAATGACACATTGCCAGGAAGTAAGTCTGGATGGGGGAAGACATGGGTAATGATGCTGTGATAGCAAGCATGCCGACAGCAAAAGCGCCCTCCTTGTCGTCCTGAACTCCGCTCGGGAACTTGAGACGCTCTTGCTCCTGGAGAAACGTGCGCGACCATGAGTGGCCATCGATGCCAGCTTCCATCTTAGCTTTGACTGCTTGCATTGCCCCCACCCAAAACTCCCGCTGGGCATCGTGGCGTTTCTTTTCCCTCCAGTACCAGGGGTTAAGAACATTTGGCAACAGCATGATGATCGGAACTTTGTTTGGAAGCTGTCCGGAAGGAGATATAGCAGATAAAAGACCAGAGGAGCTTTTGTTCAGGGCAATGCTGAGGGTAGGATCTTCCCATGCTAGGCGAGCACTCACGCGATGTGTGAACTCTTCAGCAAGTCTAGGGTAGTTTCGGTTATCCCTCTTCAACAGGTACATCATTCTCTTAATTTCAACGTGTGTAAAACCGTACATGTCGTAGTTGTAGGTCTTTGCGAGACACTCGTGGGCGAATTTTCGATGCCTTGTAAGCGCCTCTGTAGGTCACTCGGTCAGCGATACTCCAGGTAGAAATCGCATTGTTCTTACCATTATTATCCAGTAGGGGAAGATACTCCGCATCAGTCTTAGCGCCAGGAATGTTTGGTGTAGGAGCACGATTCGAATAGTGAGAACCACGTTTGGCGAGGATGTCTTGAGCCATCTTTTCGCTATTGATTCGGACGTGTTTGGTGCCAAACAGCGTCAACTGGTAGATCGGACCATATTCATCATGCTTTCAATTTATTAGTTGAGAATTACGAACATATAGTGGTGTACTCACCCATTCTGCAAACTTCTTATAAACGTCGGTAGAGGGCATTTGGAAGATAGGTCCGATCCACGGTATTAAACCTTCATAATCAGGTTACTAGTGACAACATATTTTCGCTCAGAAATTTACCTTTTGGACCGGGGATCGTTTTGTATTGGGCTTTCTTTGGGTCATTCTTGACAAGGCGGATGATAGCCCAAAGAACAGCACTGATTGCACTAAAGGCAATCGCAGGGGCGAAAACAGAAAGCAGAGACTGCGATCCAGTCTGAATCAGTTCCTCAATCATTTTGAATGTTTTTGAGAGAAGAAGAGTGAACTGATGTTTGAAGTGAGTATGTTCTATGGCCTCTCTACTACCTTTTTATCTTCTTACTCACTCTCAGCTTCCTCCTCAGTCCGACTTCCGTATCCGCACGTTGGCATGCTACTCTTGGCCCAGCCTCATTCTTCCAACATTGCTATTGCATGCAAACAATGGCACAACCCACATGAAGCCTAACGCGGATGTATCATCGCGAGGTCCGAGGACTCGCGCCAGCCATAGAGGTCGGTGTTGCGACTACCGGCCAGCCGATAATCATGGAGCGGGTGTGGAGAGCCGAGTGCTATTAGGAACAGAAAATTGTGAACCATATTGGTTTCTTCTAGCATCTGGAGCAGTGAGACTGACCCGAGATTGAAGTGAGCTCTGTTCATCGATCGATACAAGGCATCGTGTTATCACGTGATGCACAGCACTAAATGTCTTGGCGAACTCCGATGTTCTCAATGCAAGGCTTGCTCTATTGGTGATACGGTGTCTTATTCTTGCTGATTCTCGTTTGTTAATTGGCTAGTTCTTCGCTGATAGCTATCAGCCTCCATCCAGTGAGATTGCGGATGTCCGCTAAACAGTCGGCAAGCCACCGAAGTAAGCACCAAGGGACCGATGGCGCCATGTCGGCGGACATCCGCGATACCACCACTTACTAACAACCCCTGTTGTCAGCCTACATCGTAGACATTTCGTGCATCTAAGCTCCATCCGTACGTGGGACGTTTCTTAGCTATCAAACATGAGCCAATCGGGTCAGCGTGACGACGCTGTGGCTTTGGGCTGATGCCTTTCTTAGTTACAGGAACCGATGCATGCATGCAATCCGGCAAGGGAGAGAGTTTATCGATCTATGGCATGGATCAAGGACCTCAGCTGTGGCCCCAAGCCCTCAGTAAAATCCCGCTGGAGTTGCGAATACCGCCGCCCATCAGGACAATATGCTGGGTTTTCAGCAATGAGGCGTTGTGGCTATGACTCTAGCTCTATACTATTTCCATTTTTCTTACGACCGAATACGATATTGGACCCAAATCTCGATTTGATAGAAGGTGCCAGGTCACTATAAAATGGTACTACCAGAAGTCACTCCGATGGTTACCACGTTGTCTTTGTGTTTATCCCTCATCCCTGCTGCGCACGCATTGCATCTTTAGCACTTCACCATTACCGATCCGTTACCATGAAATCCTTGGCATCACTCGCTTTTATCACGTTTACCCTTGCACAGCATGCACATGCGGTCACCTCACAGCAGATCCACATAGACTTGGCCAAGACCCTATCGTCGGGATCTGAGGTGGTATCAACCACTGACCCTTCCTACGCAACCGGCTTTACACAACGATGGACCGTGTACTCCAAAGCTGCACCGACTTACGACATTGCTGTGAAGCCTGCCACCGCTACAGATGTTCAAAAAATTATCCAGTATGCAACTAAGAACAGTGTTCCATTCTTGGCAACGGGCGGTGGTCACGGTTATACCACTTCCTTGTCTGGCGTGAAGGGCGCACTCAACATTGACTTGAGTAAATTCAGAAAAGTGGTTGTGGATGCTTCAGCCAATACTATGACCATTGGAGCTGCTACGATTTTTGCTGATATGTTGGATCCATTGTACGCTGCTGGCAAACAAATGCGTAAGTTCCAGCGAGTCTCATTACGGAACAAGATTAACATCACATGCAGCATCTGGTGGGTCCTCAACCCCTAGCATTATAGGCGTTACCCTAGGTGGGGGCATCGGGCCTCTAACCGGTGCTCACGGTCTACTGATCGACTCACTGCTCTCCGTTGAGATGGTGACTGGCTCCGGTCAGATCCTAACGGTATCGGCTACTAAAAACTCCGATCTTTTCTGGGGAATGAGAGGAGCGGGAGTTAACTTCGGCATTGTCACCTCAGCGACATACCGAATCTATGATACGATCAACAATGGCATGGTGTACAATGCCGACATAAGTTTCGACGGGGAGAAGAACGAGACGATTTTCAAGATTTTGCGTTCCTACCAAGGAACCCAAGACAATAAGCTTGCAATTTCCGTGGCCTCTTCAGTCAAGAACAAAGTTGTGAGTCTTACCGTCTCTCCTGTCACGTACTAGATAGCCTGGCTAACATCTGCAGCCCGAGATCAGTATTAGCGCCATTTATTTTGGCACTAAAGAACAAGGTGATGCAGCTATCAAAGCCTTCCTTGATCAACAGCCGACATTCAGCAACATCTCTGTTGTACCCTACAACAAGCTAGTTTACGTTGCAAATTTTGGCGGCGACGTGTTCGCTCGCATAAAGGGTGTTAGAGCTGACCTGTGGGGTTACCAACTGAACGATGTTACGGTGTCCACACTCAGTAGCACGTACACAAAGTTCATCAACTTTGTTCTCGACAACCCTGCACTCGAAAACCCTCTTTGGCTAGTAGAGAAGTTTGGTCTGGGAGTTACCGCAACCATCCCCGACGAGTCTACTGCGTATGCATGGCGCAAAGCTGTTGCCTATGGCTTTTTCTCGTTCAACCTGCCCGCAAATGTGTCTGAACAGATGACGAACATTGTTGATCAGTTCTCTGAGAAGATCCGCAGCGGTCTGACTTCGGGCTGTGGAAATCCTCAGGGCAACGTATTTCCTAACTATGCACGGGGTATCGAGACGCCAGAGCAGGTTTATGGCAAGTCAAAGTTGCCGAAACTACGATCGCTTAAGAAGAAGTACGACCCAAAGGGATTATTCAATAAGTACAACTCCTTTGCTTGAGTTGGATTGGGGCAGTCTACTGTATGCAAATTGGGGCGGCATTCTGTTGTTATATCTTTGTATCCGCGCATAATATAGATTCGAGTTACCTCTACACAAGCGTAAAAACTTGAACCCCTCATACCTTTACTCTCGTGTACCACTCTTCATCTTTTCTTTTTTTTGCTGCACTCTTCTATTCATTTCCATCGGCTTAGGAAATTTAGCATAGCTACTGAAAATAGCGAACAATTTTGTTAGTACCCGTTGCAAACACTCCAAATCCAATCTCAACTCGTTTGGCCCCCAAGCCAGGCTTTGTGAGCCAAATTTCTGATAACATTCAACACTTAAAAACCTGTCCCAGCCCGGAAGTTTGAAGAACATGTCCAAATATGAGGAGATGTATCTCGACATCATTCATCTTCCCAACTCCCCATTTCCCAGTCAATGGCAATGTGATTTATGTAAGAATATCAAATATGACAAGTTTTGGACGAATCTTTGCTTGCATGGGCATATAATAAAGAAAAATAAGCTCGATTTGTTTTATGTTACTAATGCGAATAGACGCTCAATGCTCAATTTTATAACAGCAACACTCCATCTAACACTGTAACCCCCCCCCCCCCCCCCAAAAAAAATGAACGGCACTTCTCTACACCTTCCATCACTCTCCACATACTCTTGATGTCTCGCAACTTTCCCATCCCACCAATAGCCCCTATACAGCCTCCATTCCCCGATATTGTATTGCTGGCTTCCAGCACACCTCTACGGTTCACACCTAAGCCAAAACAGCCACAGCATTGACGAGCACAACACCAAAGTACAAAGCGACCCTGAAGCGGTTGAGCCATCCCCAGTATGCAATCCTCTCATGGTACTAATCGCACACACTCCTGTCAGCCATCAAGCAAGTAAAAAAAGAGTAACAACTTACATAAGCAGTCTGCATCCCCGCATCCTTCTCCGGAAAATCCGCATAATGAAACTCCTCCTGCTCCCGAAACTTCTGAGCCAACGCATCGTTAAGCGGAACCACATAATGCAGCGTAAAGGGGAAGATCAAAAACGCCATGACGCTGCTGGCCACGTATAGCATGGTCGTTTTGTTGGTGAAGGAGCCGGATTTGTCCCAAGAGCCGTAGGCGAGGATAAGGGAGAGAATGAGGCTCGAGGCACTGAGCACGGTGCCCGGGACTTGGGCGCGGCGAAATTGCGTGTGCCATTGGCGGATGGCGAGGATGGGTGAGGGCGAGACGAGGATGGAGGGGATGGAAATGCTGCTTAAGGCAGTGTTCATGCCTAGCAGGAAGGTAGCTTGCACCAGAGTGGCGACTTGGAGAGTGGCGAAGGAGACCATGATTGGAAGTAGGATAGGATGGTGGTAGTTGAAGAGAGAAGGAGTAGGGGATTGAAGAGATGGATGAGCAAGCTACTGGTTGTGATTGTTGTGATAGCAGCAATGATTCAAGCGTTTATATCTGGATGTTGGACTTTGTAATTGTTACTACGGATGTCCCATCGTGTCTTCCCCTCATGTCCGATGTTGCATCTCCATCTCCAAGTCCTACACTATCACACACGATAGAAGTAATACGGCTCTCCATACGCATCCCGTACTATCTTGCTCCGGAGATCGAAAGAACACTCAATATCTTGCATCGGTGGTCGGTAGCCGGTGTTCAGAATTATCATCAGACGGTTGTTGAAGTTCGACCTCAGCCCCCCGTCTTGGCAGGGACGTTGATACACAACAACGGAGTGCCTGTCATCACGTGACAATACACGCTACGGAGTTCCGTACAACGCCAACACAAATGCAGGACAAAGAGAGTGGGCCAGCATCAATGCAGCTGACAAACAAAAATAGCGAAGACGCAGTACCGGGACCCCGAGGATGTGAATTTGTAATAGTGGGTAGCACAACAGATAATACGATCCAAGGCGATTTTGATTTAGATCGTGACGTTAACTGTGACTGTGCCGCATTGCAACCAGTCGTATTTCAGCCCCCAGCCGCACCTTCTTCCTGCTTCCTTCGTGTGCAGATACTTTTCACGCTTGAGCTGAAAAGATATAACGCCTCAGGATTCTGTCAGCCATCAGCATAGCCCATTTACATCAAAGTCCTCCATCCAAACCCCCACGCGCCATAACGCACCTACTACACACACACATACATCAATCAAAACACGCATACACATTCCATACTCCACAAAATCTCAATAGGCCAACCACAATGGCGAGCTTCCCCACTTTTCTCAAGTCCCAGCTCCTCTACAAGCCCAGACTACCACAGCCGGGAACATTTGCTGGCAAGACTGTCATCGTTACAGGCGCAAACACTGGTCTTGGTCTAGAAGCAACACGGCACTTTGTCCGCTGCGGCGCCGCAACCGTCATCATCGCATGCCGTACGCTGTCCAAAGGTGAAGCCGCCAAGCGCGAAATCGAAGCAAGCGAGAAGCGCAGCGGCGTACTCCAAGTCTGGGAACTCGACCTCTCCTCGTACGCCAGCGTCAAAGCCTTCGCAAAGCGCTGCGAGACGCTCCCTCGTCTCGACGTCTGCGTCGAGAACGCCGGCATAGCAACGGGAAAGTTTTCGCGTGCAGAAGGCCACGAAGCCCACATCACCGTCAATGTGATTTCCACATTCCTGCTCGCACTGCTGCTCCTACCCATCATGCGCAGGTCGGCTCTCTCAACGGGAACAACACCCTATCTCACCATTGTCACATCAGAAGTGCACCACTGGACTCAGCTGCCGCAGAAGAAAGAACCAAGCATCTTCGCTGCGCTCGACGATGAGTCAAAGGCAGATATGGCAGACCGCTACAACGTCTCCAAGCTGCTGGAGATCCTCGCGTTGAGGTACATGACTAGAGTGCTGATTAAGGATCGTGCAAAGTATCCCGTGGTCATCAATTGCGTTACACCGGGTCTGTGCAAGTCGGATCTTGTCAAGGATATGGGTATGGCGCCTGTCGTGTTCAAGACGTTGCTGGGTCGTACGCTCGAGGTTGGCAGTCGCACGCTGGTTAATGCGGCGGCGCTACCTGACAGCGCCGGCGAGTACATTATTGACGATCACGTATCTGAGCCGTCGAAGCTGGTGGTCGGTGAAGAGGGCGCGGAGTTATCGAAGAGGGTTTGGTTCGAGTTGGCAGACATCTTGGAGAAGGCTTGTCCTGGAGTGACCCAGAACATTGCTGCGTAGATGTGTGAGCACACTGCGGCGGCAGTGTTGTGCCGGTAAGTTGCAGGCGTACTAGTTGTGAGGCACGTGACTCCTGGGATCATATGATTGTCAGTTAGACGTATGGGGAACGGTACAGCGACAACACTGGGATGGCATGAAAATTTCTTCATCTCATTTCTCTTTAATCATTCGGCTCTTGTATTTTCGTTTTATTCTTCTATTTGCTTGCTACCACAAGCCCTCTGCTAAAATGTTTCATTGCAGAAGGGCGTCCTTGTTCACATGAGGGATAATGAAAATATACCTCGCCAGTAATTCAGCTCTATTCATGACACGTCAATTCTAGACAATGCTTTTGGCTAATTCTCCACACGCTAATGCAATAACAATGTCAGGTTGTGATTTCTATCAGCTCCATCTATGGAGGAAGTACCGAGCCTTTTCAAGCACACTGCTGACAAGATGCGTGGGATGATTCTCCAGCTTGCTGATGCAACAAAGCAAGCTGTTGCCACCCTCAAATATTGGTAATCGTCTGTTGTCTGGGAATGTGACGACCGGGGTGACTGCAGGGGTATTGAGAAAGCGTTCCTCATCGCTGGGTAGAAGTGCGTCAATACCCACTTCCCGGGACTGGATCCCTGTATTGATTCGCTCTATTGTCCTAAGCGACCAGCAGGCCATGGATGCCCGGTAGATCGCCACCGGCCACCATATGGGTCGCGCGTCGACCGGTAGATTGTCGATCAGCCGGAAGATCTGGCCAGCATGGAACAAGACATAGTTCCCTTCTTCGGGATAGCGTACTCGGCTCCACATCTCAGCGCATGCTGATGCTGATGATGGAGGCTCCTCTTTGGCACATTTCTCAATGTCAGGGATGCTTGTGTATACATTTAAGCTAACCAGATGTAGCATGATTATGCCCGTCCAATCCACTGGTACGGTCCAAGGTTTGTTCTCGCTGTCCATGGTGGCCTGCGAATGTCGATTGAGAAGTGTAGCCAAGTCTTGAACCAAACCCTGTGTCTCTTGTAGGCGGCCCAATACTTTAGTCTTGGAAAGGACACGATGCCTGTTGGTCGATTCATCATTATCGAAGATGCGAAGAAGCTGTTGCTGTTCCAAGACCATGGCTTGTAGGGGGTGGAGAAGGAGACGCAGGTGATATGGAGGTACATCATCACTACCTGTTAGTCGACCTTGGAGAAAACTCCGGAAGAGACCATTTAGTGACGGTAGCTCGCGGCCCATTTGGATCTCGTTTGCACCAGGCTGTCCAATCCAGTCGTTGTACGATTGTGCGTTCCAGAGATTGCTATCATTGGGTAAAGGTACTTGCAAATCGCAGTTTGAGAGTACAGGAGGAACATCATGAAGCAAGCTTGTCTCAAGGTCCACATAGACCCATGCATGTACATGGCTACAAATGTCAGATCATACCACATAATCACGTCAAAAGGAGTTCTTACCGATTTTTTGTCTCAATCTCTTTCCATCTCTCCCATCGGCTCTCACTATCTAAGCCGTGGTCGTTGAACCCGGGCTCGGGATTTAGAATTCCACTGCTCTTCAACAGCTAGCCGATATGTTAGCATATTATTCATCTTTTCTCCAAGATGACAGTAACTTACACTCAGGTACTGGCCTCGTTTTGACATGGCATACTGATTTGTGTTAGCTTTACGCAAAGGCAAATCACAGATGATACATACCGAAATAAAAGAACTCTTCCCACTTCGCACACAGAGTGTGAGTAATTGCAATGCAATGCCTCCCACCATTGCCTGTGATATGCATCGGCGTTCGAGAACATGGTTCAGTGCCACCATGCATACCTCAATCAAACCATAAGCGAATACGTGTGACTCATGGTGATCTGTAAGCATAGCGCCATGTGTAATGACGAGAATGATCAGCAACATGCCTACGTCGACCGCGTCAATATTCAAAATGTCTTGGATGTTAGCGGTAGGGGAGCCAGGGAGACCAAGGTAGGGTTGAACCGAGTCAATGCGTGCTGTGTAGATCTCGATAAAGTGTATTAGTACGTGCGACGGAGGCAGCGATACGATGCGGCCAAAAAGGCCTTCGGTCGATGATGATGGCGAGCTGCCAATCTGCAGCGCACGTTGGAGCAGCAACTGCACAGTGGCCACTAGTCGATCACGAGCGTCATGTGACAAGGCCATAGTACTATCGCTCTTGTTACTGGGTAGCCCATCCCAGGCATCTGGCCGGGCCAGGACATCCACGAGTTCACCAAGTACATCGTCTGTTGCGTATGAGCTGCCTATTGATATATCCTGGTTCTTCTTGTTTGGGCTAGAAGCATATTGGCTGTTCGTCAGGCCTAATGACAAACTCGACTTGATATGAGGGCTTGTAAAAGGCGGAGTCGGGGGTTGGTTTGGGCCGTGGAAGAGCCCCTGTTGCTGCTTGTACAAATTATGATTCCCAGGCCCGCGCGGAGAAAGATGAGGTTCGTTCGTTTGCATCTCTGGACGTGGCATAGATGGGAAGAGGTGAGTAGATGTGGTCCCGTCCATAGGCTCGCCACCTAGGGATACGGGATATGGAAATCCCATGAAGTCTTCGTACCCAGTAAGATCCAGTTGTCCTTGGGGCAGAGTCGTATCTACAAGCATGTATAGTTCGCTATTGTTTGTTTGACCGTCAGGCAGGATGTAGGCAGGAAATTGATCCATTGTTGTATTTTGATTGCCATCCTGGGCAACAGTGTTTGTTGGTGTTGTCAAGGGCTTATTGCGCGCAGATGACGTCCGAGAAGCTCTCGGTCGGCGCGAGGAGCACCTTGGTTGACATTCATAATTTCTTGCAACACACTGAGAGCACGGCACCTAGTTGCTGCGTTAGAGACCGTTGTAATGTTCCAGTATTCCGAATTCTCGGTGCTTGGGTAGCAATTCGCTTGACTAACCTTGCGGTCACATCGTGCTTTTGAAATGGCACACCGGGTGCAAGCGATGAGAGTAGCAGTATCCATCTTGAATCGATGTCGAGGTTACCAAGTAGCAGGTAACGTACCGGGATATAAGAATGAATATGGTGGGAGAGTAGTCTCCACTGCCTGCAAGGAAAACAAGGAATGATGCACAAAGATGGGACAGACACCGGTGAGTGCAGGAGGATACGAGTATGTAGGATTGCGGGCCTAGGCGACGCATACGAGATATGTCGTTCACTGGCGGCTCCGTCTACTTCCGCAGAAGTGTACCTGAAAGGCGTGCTGGAACCCGTCTCCAATGTTATCAGCAGGGGTCCACCTGGCTAATTAAAATATTGTTGCTCCAAATGGACTGTACTTCATATAGTTAATAGCGCCGTCTACTAGCACCTTTTCCTATTTTTTCGCGGATTATATTTGCGATATAGTAAAGGGGGGCACTGAATAGAAAAAATACTACAAAGTTATAATCTAGTAGTAGTATGATATAGCTTTAAACGTAGTGAGTTTCTTTCGTATTGAGAGTTGCGCTGGGTTTTGGTTGCGAAAGTAGCCCGCGTGGAGTACCGGTAGTATTGTCAACCGGGTGGGGTCGTCAGCTTTGAGGCGCCAGACCCACGGGTTTGTAGCTAGCGGATTTCCCAAACCATGTTAGATTATGTAAGCATGCTTACCGAAACACGCATCAGCAGAGGGTATTCACCTCCCCCCTGATAAGAGTGAGACGTCCCCTTTATAAGCAGGGCCCCCTACTTATAGAGAGGGGATGTTTCAATCTTATCGGGGGGGAGGTGAATACCCTCTGCCACACGCATCAATTTGCAGCTTGTAATTATGGCTGTCGAATCAGCGGTGCATGTTGAGAAGAGCTGTCATAAATGGAGTTGCTCACGTAGTCGTGTAGCACTTGTCGTTTAGGTTTACGACTAGCGTAATGATTCAAAGAGTTTTTGAACAATGGTCTTCCTTAGTCTAGGGCTTATCTTCTGGGGTAGACTAGGATCATTCAACCCATGTGCGTGGGTAGAATACGAGCTGCAACATGGTGTGCTTGTGATGCAACTTAGACGCCACGCTGATCGGTTGGCTAGGGAAACGGCTCGGCTTCACAGCGCCACACAAAATAGAAATGTGTAACATGGTACACTACGGCTTTCTAGGAGCTGAGTAGTTATATGTCGCGACACTAGCTCGGTAGCGCTCCGCCCGGACTTTCAAGCTAAGCAGGGGAGGATCACACAGACATGTATGTGCATGTATGTGGATCCCTTTTGCCTACCGCTGTTAGTCGAGGAGTTCCACGGATATTTTAGTACGGATGTGTTTAGTTTAGCAGCATTGTCCGTTTATGAGCCAGGTCAAACGTATGGATTTAAAACAGCTAGAAACGGCGTCTATCCAAAATACACCAATTAGATCCAGGATGAAAAGAACGTGGAGTTGAATGATATTTAATATAGCTTACAGATGACGGAAATTACTAACATAAGCTGTGTTCACAATTTTACCGAACCACACTCTTCTCGCATTTCAGATCAACTTTCGCCAGATCATAGCCGTGTAAGGAGCCGTCTTTCACTATCGCCAATCAGCTTATTGGCTGGGTATACAATTTCTATGCTACCCAAGTAACTGCTCTCCTGAGAGCAATTTTTTGTACAAAACGGAGGTCTCGATTCACGAGCGTTGCTCTATTAGTACAGAATTTGGTAAGCGTTGGTTTGATTTAGTTTGTCCCTTCTGTCCTCGGGATGACCATTTTATTAAATTTGATATCTTCTAGGGTGCCGCGCTGTTGTTAAAATTCGTTTCATGACATAAATGTAGGGGATGTATATTTCCTAGACGATACTGCTTTATTAGGTGACCAAATGGTAACTTGACACGCTCTCTCTTTTCAGCTATTTCTAATCGAGATGGATCCATGTACCGAGCTAAACTCGTAACGATCTTCGAAATGCTACCAAAAGCGGTATTATAAAAACGGAAAGTGGGAAACGGAGTACTAAGAGCCTGTTCGGTGCTGCGTTCTGCGTCTCCGTTTTGCGTTTTATTGACCAGATTTAGACTCCATTGCGAAAACGAACCTGAAAATGCTGAACCATTCAGCTAGCCGCACGTTTCTGATCACAAAACGAACCTCCGTTTTATTCGCATTTCTATATTAAAATAAGCCATGTCTAGTGCTTAGCTACACTATATTCTCATCTAGTTAAGAACAACGGAGGCTTGTTTTCTGGATGTTAGTCTCTAATTCTAGCTGCGTTTTCAAACTCTGTTTCAGCACGCGATCTATTGGATGCATTGCATCGCGAACTTTCTAGCTATAACTATAGGATCCAGTCTATCTACGTGATCTATCCACCTAATTCATATAAATCACGTGACCTAACCGCAAATACAAAACGGAGCTCCATCCGAACAGCTCCTCCGTTTTCTATCCCAATATAGATAAGCCCAGCTGCAACGCTAGCTGATGCTACTGATAACGATCTATACCTAGATAGGTATCCAATACCAAGACGCAAGACGCGGCATCGAACAGGCCCTTAGTGATGCCCCCGTAGCCCCTACGCTAACACCTTGGCACTACATTACTACCTGCATGCGTCGAAGGTCGCCCATCGTGCGGCGGCTCTCGGTCGATCGGGAAATCTAGAAATAAGATTTGCCTAACGCCAACAGTATGAAGCCAGCTTAGAAACGCTGTTCCTACTACAGCGTAACTAATATTATTTTACTTATTATCCGTTCATATATATAGATATTAAGTATAGAGTAAGCGTAATCAACAACTCTAATGTTCTCTTAAAATAATATTGTGGTAGTGTTGGTATCCTGTAGTGAAGGCTGGTCGGTTTGGTGGATTAGCCCGCTTGGTCTGGGGTTTTCAGCTTTCTCGATCGACCGAGAGGGCGGGTGCTTGCTTACTATCCGATAAGCACTGTCTCAGCGTACCATGTACATATGTCTTACTATGCATTTGAATAATTAAGTAAAACACTAGAACTGCTTACACGCCCGGGTGAGAGAGCGAGGCTGGCATGCAACTCACACAGGTCGGCAGATTCATCATTATCATCATCCTAATCGGTCCCCGAAATCCGACCGTTCACGCGGCTACCATGTACATACTTACTAGGTATGTCCCAATAACCAATGTCGAGACGTGCCACTCGCCTACTCCCGCATACTAATCCCCTTTCAAGGGTAACCCGCCAGGTAGGCGCCGCATCGGCAACGCTTGATCAAATTCAATGCAAGTGTCCATGTTGACACCCTCAACCGTCGGTGGTAATACAAACCATGACTGCATAACTCTCCTTGCCCCATACCACCAAAGAAAGACGTGGGGTTGTCTGTCCCGATTCCCGGGGCTTCCCCCACCAACTCTGGCGTACTTTTCTTTGCAAACTCATCAAGCTAGCGACGGATCAGGAAATGCACTAAGAGAAAAATGCGAATATACGCATGCAGGGCTTAAGAATGCCGGGACATGGGGGCGTGGGCCGGTTAGCCGTTTCTGCAGGCGCGGAAACACGGTTCGTTATCTCTATACCCGTTTAGAATATGTTCTTAGCTCTGAACCGCAACCGACGGCATTAGTACATAGGTGCGATACACGAGAAGAACGAAGACAAGAACAAGATGGGCAGGTATTGCCGAACTTGCCGGTGTGTTTTCAAGGCCCAATGGCGCAAATGCCGAGGCTTATTACCTGCGTGAAATGACCAACAGAATCATCCTTCTCCGCTTCCTGATCAGCCCCATCCCACGGTTGTTGGAAACAAAAATGGGTTACACAGAAGGAATGCGGCTCATGCAGTCTACTGTACCATTCTCGGCCCGACGGTTCTTCCGCAGCAACGCATCGGCGATCCACTCGGAAAATTCAGTGATGGAGGATTTGTATGTGGCTGCTGACGCCAAATGGGGCAATGGTGCTTGCATTGGAAACTTCAATCGTCGATGTCCTGCAGTTTTCTCGCTTGAGCCTGCTCGCTTTGTCCCCCAAACCTCGTAGACTCTACGCGTCGGCATATGATATGTACGTATCAACTCAGGGTAAGAATGCGGATGGTGCATTGCCGCATGCATGCAAGTGTATACTTACATCTCTCTGTACACATGTCAAGGATCTACATGCTGGACGGACAAGGTCTCGAGGACCCTTCTTTATCGCTCACTGTCCTGGTATCTGGGTACGTAGCCAAGCTACAGTCGAGTAAGATCCGGTAGCATCGCACCCGACCCCAAATTGAGCATGATGACTAGTGGGGTACTCTTTCCGACGTGTAATCAGCCTATTTTCTGAAACTTTTAGGGTCGCGATCATGGAGGTCGATCCACTGTTTGTCAGATACATATCCTTCCGTTCCTGTAGGCGACTACTCCGTAGGAGGCCTAGAATCCGTTTAGATGAATGAAATCGGGCTAGGCTAAGTCACCAAATATAAAACAAACATTTACGAGATGTATTACTGAGGCGCAAATCTAGGCTGTTCTCGGAAAGATAAATTCACACGACCATTGCGTGTCGCATATTCAGCGCATGCCAAGAGCGGCGGTACGTCCCGATTGCCGTTGTAGCGAGTCTCTCGTGCATAAATAGATATTCCTTTCGCTTGCGTACAAGGAAAAAACACAAGTCCATTATGCAATGCTGAATCCATGGACTTCCGATAGTGGTTGGTATGCCTCGTCCGGACAAGATTCTGAACGGCGACTACAATTTCAGCGGGCTGTAGTAACAACGAAGCCACTGGCAAAGCCGCTCAGAACGACAGCAGACTCGAATCGATCCCCTAGGTCATCTGCCATCTTGAAGCCCGGTAGTGCGGAAGGTGTTCGAACAGGGCTGTGCAGACTTGCAGTGCGGTTAAACTACTAGATGGCCACGTAGGATAGTAGACTTGTCAGGGCATCGACAAACCCTCGGCCTTGTAAGTAGGGAATTCGGAACGAATTAACGTATAGGGAGAGATCTAAATTTCTGTGAGAGCTTGAGTCAACGTGCCGATGGGGACGATATGCAAGGACGATGGTTTGACTGGCTGAAGGAGGTTTGTATACTTGTGCCAAGCCAACTCCTACGTCTTTTCCCTTTCTATCCTCACATGTCAAATGCCAGAGTTTTGGAGTGCAGCAATTATCTGTTTGAAAAGGTCATTATCTTCTTGAAGCTTCGTCATGTAGCTCAACGCCTCCCATCTAGATCCGTTCTGCTCGTTCTGCTAAAGTACACGATGAACGTCAAATAAGAAGTGGAGAGCAGAGATACATCCGACACAGTGATTAATATACAAATGGCCCTCTCCAGGCTCGACGATAGGGTATGCTCGCCTCATGCTCCGTCGTTCTGGCGGACCAACCTATTCCAGAACACGCGTCACCAAACCAGTAGCGACTGTCCGGCCACCCTCACGCATGTTGAAGCGCTGGCCAGTCTCCAAGACGTGTGGTGCGTGGAGCTCGCAAACCATCTCGACGTTGTCACCAGGCATGACAAGCTTCTCATGGGCATCCTCGGTACCTTCGGGCCAGAACAGCGCACACGACTCATCAGCAGTGCGGATGAACATTTGTGGCCTGTAGTTCTCGCCGAAACCAGTGTGGCGACCACCCTCCTCCTTGCTCAAGACGTACATGGAGACGAGGAACTTCTTGTGAGCCTTGACCTGTCCAGGGACGGAAACGACCATACCACGACGAACTTCGTCACGCTTGACACCACGTAGAAGAAGACCAGAGTTGTCACCAGCGCGAGACTCTTCGCAAGACTTCTTGAAGGTCTCAATGTCGGTAACCTTGGTCTTGATGGGCGCGGTACCCTTGCCGACAAGCTCGACTTCAGCATCGCGCTTCAGAATACCTCGCTCAACACGGCCAGAAACGACGGTACCACGGCCAGCAATGGAGAAGACGTCCTCGACGGCCATAAGGAAAGGCTTGTCAGTCTCACGCTGAGGGGTAGGAATCCATGAATCGACGGCCTCGAGCAGCTCGTCAATCTTGGTGACACCAATTTCCGGCTGGCGGTTCTCAATGGCACAGAGGGCAGAGCCCATGACAATGGGGGTCTCGTCACCCTCAAAGCCATAGCTGCTAAGCAGTTCGCGCATTTCCATCTCGACAAGCTCCAACATTTCCTTGTCCTCAACAGCGTCGACCTTGTTGACGAAGACAACGATCTTCTGGACACCGACCTGGCGGGCGAGCAGCAAGTGCTCACGGGTCTGGGGCATCTGACCGTCGGAAGCGGCAACAACAATAATGGCACCGTCCATGTTGGCGGCTCCCGTAATCATGTTCTTGATGTAATCAGCGTGACCGGGGCAGTCGACGTGGGCGTAGTGGCGGTTTTCGGTTTGGTACTCAATGTGGGCGGTCGAGATTGTGATACCACGCTTGCGCTCTTCGGGGGCCTTGTCAATGGAGCCATAGTCGAGGTATTTAGCAAAGCCCTTTTCTGCTTGTCGCTTGGTGATGGCGGCTGTGAGAGTGGTCTGCAGCGTGTCAGTCTGGTGACGTCTAGGACATTTGGTGGGATGTGGTGTACCTTTCCGTGATCGACGTGGCCAATGGTACCTGGAAACAGTCAGCAAAGTCACGTCTGACCTGAATGACAAGATACATACCAATGTTAACGTGAGGCTTATCTCGTGTGAAGGCGGCGTAGTTGCGGACGCCGTTCATCCACCTGCTGGTGCCCTGCGCACCCAAGGCATTCTGCACCGGCGAGACGCCACGCTGGTACTGCACGGCAGCACGCGAAGTGCGCAGGAAAACCTTTGAAAAGCTTGACATGATTGACCCGATCACAGGACACGGAAGAAGCGAAGGCAAGGCAATTGGCCAAGATGGCGATGTTGGATGAGGGCGGCGAGACTCAAATCATTTTCTTAGCGCGAGAAGATGCTTACGCTGGCCATCGTCCAATCAGGTGAGGGGGAGATCCGAGCTTGCCCACGCTGCATCGGCGGGGCATACCATTGCGGGCAGCAGAGACATAGCTAATTATCTTCCTTTTTCTCTAATCAATTTGAGCTTTCTCAACTCACCGGCAAGGTTAAGAGGGACAAATCTTATCATCTCGGCGTGTAGGCTAGATCCGCCGGTTGCCCAAGGTGGTACCGGCCTCGACATCCCGATTTGCGGGTACGCAGTACCCGAGGCTCAACTCGGTCGGCAGCGGCTGTGAAAGTTGTTGCATCGTCATATCCCAAACACCACACATGTCTCTCTTCACATTGACAAGAGCGCCGCTGAGCTGCGTCTCACGGACCCGTGCTACCTGCATCATGCCATTGCGTGCAAAAATCACAAATCCCGCCTGGATGAGCGGGTCAAGACTGGTACAATGGCGGCCCTTCTCACCCAGCACCGCGCGTGCCGATGTATAGCATACTGACGGCGCACAGTATGCCACGCCGACGGCAGACCTCCTGAAGGCGGAAAAGGACGACGACCCCGACGATGTCATTTTCACCAACAACTACGGCGTGCGCAGCATCGAACTCAATCGGCCTAAGAAGCTCAACTCGCTCAATGGCTCCATGGTGCGCAAGATCGTTCCGAGGATGCAAGAGTGGGAAAAGTCGGAACTGGCGGGCGTCGTTGTCATCAAAGGCAGCGGCCGCGCATTCTGTGCCGGCGGCGATGTCGCGGCATTGGCAGCGTGGAACCGGGAGGGACCAAAGGGACAACAGAGGAGCGCAGACTACTTCGGCCTGGAATACAAGCTGGATCACCTGATTGCTACCTACACCAAGCCGTATGTCGCCTTCATGGATGGCATCACCATGGGTGGGGGCGTCGGACTGTCGATGCACGCGCCTTTCCGCATTGCGACCGAAAACACCCTCTTCGCCATGCCTGAGACAACCATTGGTTTCTTCCCAGACGTTGGTGCCTCTTTCTTCTTGCCACGCCTAGAAGGTGCGCTCGGAACCTACCTAGCCCTCACATCGGAGCAGCTCAAGGGTGTGGATGCCTTCCACCACGGCGTCGCAACCCACTACATCCACTCCTCCACTCTGCAGCAGCTAGAGGCACGTCTCGCCGAACTCCAGTTCCCCGACTATATGAGGCTCAACGAGCGCTTTAGGATCATCAATGCTACCATTGAAGAATTCAGCACCGGCCTGCCTTCGGACCGACCACATATCTCTGGTGAACTGCGCAGAACAATCGACAGGGTTTTCCACGTTGACCAGCCGGGCATCATGGACATCATGACATCTCTTGAGAAAGTCAAGGAAACGCATGCAAACCCCGAAATTCAAACGTGGGCTGACAAGACCATTCAAACCATCAACAGTCGCTCTCCCATCTCTGTTGCTGTAGCTCTCAGGCAGATGCAGATCGGCCGTCAATGGTCTATCGCGCAAGCATTCCAGAGAGAGTACTCCATCGCTGCCAAATTCATGGCTCACCCCGATTTCGTCGAAGGTGTGACAGCACGCCTTGTTGAGCGTAAGAAGGAGCGACCCAACTGGAAGCCTAACACCCTTGATGAGGTCAATAAGAGGGAGGTCGATGCGTTCTTTGAATTTGGCAGGGAGCCGCCACTTCCGCTCATAAGTCAAGCAGACTACACGGAATATCCACATGCATGGATCGGGCTGCCAAGAGAGGATGAGATTCTCAGGGAAGCAGCAGGCAAAAAGACCGAGGACGTTGTCGCCAATTTGCTAGAAAAGTACGAGGGCAAGCAAGGTGTCAGGGAAAAGATTGCCGAGGTTCTTGACAGATTTCAAAAGTAGAAAGGTATCGACCTTGGCCAAACCCATTGGTCGGTTATTTGAGTTCAAATGCTCGTAGAAGAAACCCACATATCTGCTGAATTTACTCAGCCTTGATTGTTCACCATACTCCTGGTTTCTATTATTCCTTAGAAACTTCTCTTCACCTCTGTATCGTTATTCCTCAGCTCGTTTTCATTACCTTACTAAACCACCCGTCTACAGATTAGATTGATTGAATCATGGCAAATCCATCCTTCTTCTCGGCCTGCAACATGCTGAAGACGGTATTAGGCTTTCCCCTGGTATCCAGTGAATAAGGGCGGTATGCCAGTTTGTTCTTCCCACAAATTTTCAAAAGCACATTGCTACCACGAGCTTTATAAGAAGCAATTCAGGATCACCAACGAAGGTGAGCTGTGGGTGTGATGGGTCAATACCATTTAGGCGAGTATTCCGGTGAACATTATGGGTTGCATGCACCAGAAAAACACTTTTGGGTTCACCTGATTTTTGAACTCATCCGCTGCTGCCTGAATGCCAAGTGCACTGATAAGGCAGACTTGCTTCTTCTTTACATGCGTCGTCGACCGTAGCCTATGAGGCCGCTCTTTAGAAAAGGAGGCAACACAAGGTGCTGCCTGCGGCAAGAACGTGTGGCAGTGAGATTTACTAGGATTGTAGTATGACAAGATCGATGAGTAGCCGTTTTAAGCGCCAGGAACCGATTCTGGTAAAGGTTGGGGGCTAAACGGCAGTTCTCTCCACCCACGCCATGAGTTCACAGCCCCCAAACATGATGACATCAGCTTTCTATCCGCCTCGTGCACCTAGCTATGGCTGCCTGCCTAGGATGTTAAGCCTGAGTCGGCGCTGAATCTCCGCTCCACTGTCAGCTAGAAAGCGCGGTTCATCGCAAGTCCTCCCAGTGTGATTGGCTGTCTAAGCGTTGAGCTGAGGCTGAGACGGCGGTAAGCCATCCATTGCCCAAATTTGGATGCCGCGGCTTGGCCTAAGTTACGATGGAAGGACTCAATCCATCTCCACACTCAGCTTGTGGCTGTGTGGTTCTATACTTATAAGTTGTCTTTTCCTTGCTGCTTGTTTTGCTGTATTGTCCTAATCTCTTCACACGACACCATTGGGAGGAATTGACGAAAGCCCTTGAGCAAAATCACGACTACATTATATTTGAATACCGATTGGCTAAACAGCGACTGGATCGACCAGTCAGAATGTCGGCTATAGAGCGGCAACCGTTGTTGGCTGAGAAGATTGCCGTGAATCACGAACTGCAGATTAGCGACGATGAACTTGGATACACAAAAAGAGCTGCGAGAAGAAGCCTAGGAGATACCCTCCGCAAAGTCGTTGTACTGCCTTTGATCTGTG